GGGCTCAAGGGATCCTCCCGCCTCAGCCTCCCGAGTAGCTGGGACTACAGGCGTGTACTACCACGCCCAGCTAATTTTTTCTATTTTTTTTTTTTTTTTTTAGTTGAGACAGGGTCTCGCTCTTGCTCAGGTGTGAGCCACCTCGCCTGGCCTTAAATGCTCTAGTTACAATGAATGTTGCCTTAGTAGTACGTAATACTATAGAGAAAGGCTTGTGATACAATGCAAGAAAAAAGTGCAGAATATTAAATTCATGTACATAACCTTGAAAAACATGAATTTGTAATATAAAGGAAATACAACAGTAAAACATGTACCTTTTTTCTTCTTGATTTTTCTAAAGTAGTTTTATATAAAACATACTTGAGATTTACCATGCATTTGAAATATTCTAGTATAATAATGCCAGAATACCAAACTTCTGTGAAAGGAAAATAATTAGGTCTACTTATTTCAAGCATTAGTTTTATAAAACAGAATCTGCATTAAGGAGAAAAACACAGGAAGGAAAGTCAGCATAAGTCTGGTGGAATTATAGGTGCTTTTTTTTCTTTATTTTCCAAATGTTCTGTAATATACTTACTACTTTTTATAATAAAAACATTCTAAAAAATGAAAATAATTTAAACATTTTAATCTGTCCAATCCTTTGAAATTCATTTTACACAGTATTTTACCTACAGTCAATGTAGGAAGTTACAATGGAGAGACAGGAGGTTCCCATATATGGTAGGTTGTTTTAACTATTGATATAATAGCTAGTATTTACTGGGCGTTTGCTATGTGTCAAAAACTGTACCCAGTATTTTATCTTCATTTTTGTTAGTAATTCTTTGAGATAGATATTAAGCCCATTATATAGATGAGGAATTTGAGGGCTGAAGAAGTTAAAAGAGACTTGTCCATAATTTAAAAGCAACCAAGTTTAGGCTGAGTTTGGTGGCTTCGCACCTGTAATTCTAGCACTTTGGGACACCAAGGCTGGAGGATAGCCTGAGACCAGGAATTTGAGATCAGGCAGAACAATGAAGCAAGACCCCATCTATACAAAAAATAGAAAAATTAGCTGGGTGTGGTAGCACGTGACCGTAGTCCTAGCAATTCAGGAGGCTGAGACAGGAGGATAGCTTGAGCCCAGGAGTTTGAGGTTGCAGTGAACTATGATGACACCACTGCACTCTAGCCTAGGCAACAGAGCAAGACTCTCAAAAAATAAAAGCCACTAAGTTTATAGTGGGGCCTGAAAGAGAATCCAGGTCCAGCAAGATAGAAAGAACTTCTAACACTATCAAAGGGTGATGTTGACATACATTTCTAAAGTTTCAGTAAACTTCTAACTATATCATAACCACCATGAAGATGGTGTCTGGTTATTAGTAGAGGCAGATGTACAGTGAAGCTAATTAAGATTCAGGGCCCTTCATTGTCCAAAGCCCTGGAGGGGCCTTAGAAATGGTCTTTTGAAAGAGCTAGACATTTTTTCATTATCTTGTAAACTTTTAAAACGTAATATATTTTTGTATATTTTTCTTAATGAGGGCCCCCCAAATCTGGATCCACCTCTATTTATAGTCATTTTGGAATCGGACTCAGAAGTGTTATAACTATAATAAGTCCTTTAAAAGGTTATAGTCATATTTTATAACAACACAGAAAATGTTGACACTATAACTCAGGTGTAAAAAAGAAATTTAAGGACTGTGAGGGAATTTGAAAAATGAAAACAATAAAATATTCTTCGGTTCATTCAGAAATATTTATGAAGCCCCTTTTATGTATCAGGCTTTTTTTAATTTGGATTTTTTTCATTTCTCTATACAGTTTTAGAAATTAGTTAAGTATATTTGCAAGATTGTCTAAATTATCAAATGAAAATCACTTTCACACACTTTGAATCTTATACTTTGTGTACTACGACAGCTTAAGAGATATAGAAAATATTTAACTCTTAGGGCCTTAGTTTTCTCATCTCTAGAATATGGAAGATGGACTAGGTGGCCTCTAAATTTTTTCCCACCCTAACATTCCATGATCATATTCTCTGCTCTTTCTTCCCAAACCACCGCTTTATTTCATTATAATAAAACTTTACAATAGCAGGAAATTTAGCTTTAAAAAATCTAGTTTTTCAATGATAACAATTGACTATACCTATAACAGAAATTATAATCAGAAACAGTATTATGTAGTTTTATATAAATGGAAATTGGCTCTCTGATGATAGTTCCAGTTTCAAAATGAGGCAAATCAGTGGTAACATCCACTGTTTTATTTCAGCAGGAAAAGAATTTTATTCATGTATATTTCTTTTAGATCTTAAATGTTTTGCCCAAAGACATTAACTTCAAAAAACTTTCAAAGGAATTGTACAGAGGTACGGGTAAATTAGGTTGATCTTTTAATAACTGGAATATGCCGACTTTTCT